GAAGCAGTCCAGCCATGAGAAAATAAATGCATGAATTGTGTGAGAGTATTGGTTTTATTTTTGAGATGCAGACAGATCTGAACAGCTGCTCTCGATGTGCTTCAAAGCTGAATCAAATGGTATTCCCAAATGTCTGTTAGTGGGCTTTACAATGGAAGGTTTGTAGGCCTGAGATGTCAGTGCTACAGAGGTGATACTGAAAAAGCAACTATGCTTTTAGGGTTAAGAGGTCTCCAGCAAGGTATATCTGTGTATCCGCTGCACAGCTGGTAGAAGCATATGATAGAAAATATAGCAGGACCTAAAACTGAACCTTGGGGTATACCACAGGTAAAGAGGTGGTGACAGGGTAGATTCTTTCTGAAGTGAAAACACTTCAATTTAAAAGATAAAGCAAATGCATGAGTAATACTGTGAGGTGTAACATTAGCACTTAAGAAGTAAGTGACTTAATACTGAGTCACAAAACCAGTCATTTTCATTTTCAGCTCAGTACAAGAGTAACGCTGCCACAGTAAAGCTCTAGCTTCAAACAGCACTCCGGGGAGCCAGCGTTAGTCCTGCTGCTCATACTTAATTCATCGCTGAAGCTTAAAATGAACTTTTTTTGACATTTACAACTTTCAGATTAGTTTTCTAAAATCTTTCTCTGCAGAACTGAAAGTCAATGTTTCTTTACCACAGCTAATATGTTTGTTTTTGCTTTTCACGTCTAAGGAAAAGAGCACATACTTAGGACTCGTAAGCATCCCCATCTCAAGCATCACTGGACGTCAGTTTGTGGAGCAGTGGTACCCGGTCATCCAGCCCAGCGTTCTCACCAAGGGAGCTGGTGTCGGAGGAGGGAAGATCATCAATGCATCACTACGCCTCAAATCCCGCTTTCAGACCATGAACATCCTGCCCATGGAGCTGTATAAGGAGTTTGCAGAGTATGTCACTAATAACTACCGCACCCTGTGTGCTGTGCTGGAGCCTGTGCTGAGTGTCAAGAGCAAAGAGGAAGTGGCCTGTGCTCTGGTGCATATACTTCAGAGCACAGGGAAAGCTAAGGTATGGGATCACTGAGTCCTCTACTTGACAAACACTATTTTAGGAGGAAAATAATAACTCTGTTCCCCTTTTCTCCAGGATTTTCTATCGGACATGGCAATGTGTGAGGTAGACAGATTCATCGACCGAGAACACCTTATCTTCAGAGAGAACACTCTGGCCACCAAAGCCATAGAAGAGTACCTCAAACTGATTGGACATAAGTACCTTAAGGATGCTATAGGTGAGTCGGAATAGTGTACAGAGCGTTTGCAGTGTTTGACTTAGTCGCTCCTGTGTTCAAACCAATTTAAAATTCAGCAGATCAACTTTTGAAAGTTGGGAAATAGACAAACTTTTAATTAAAGGGGGGGAAAATCCAACTTTCTCTCAGCCTTAGTGTTTTTGCTTGCAGAAGATAGTTTGGTTGGGTGTGGGGAATTTTATTATTTTTCAACTTATTCGCGGCACTCAAACTTGTGTCTTTTTTGCACTGCTGTGTGGAGTTTGATGATATATTGAATTATGTGATTATCCGAGCTCAGCACAAGTCTGTTGGCGGTGAGATCAAGAAGCAGCTCTCCTCAAAAGGCGAGAAATACGACTTCCTGAGAGGAAGCAACGAGCTCGATATGTTGTTATCGTTGGCCTGGTTTCATTAATGAATGTTTGCTTGAGTTCATACAAAATCGAGAACTTATTTAACATAATTGTATTCAGCC